AAAAAAAAAAAATCTTAAAAAAAAAAATCTTAAAAAAAAAAAAAGAGGCATGCTGTAAAATAAAGTGAGACACTTCTAAAAAAAAAAAGAAAGAAGTGTAAATAGCTAACAAACAGGAAAACTTCATTTTCAGTGTTACTCAAAGAAATGTGAATAAAATGTAATTTTATATCTATCAAATTAGCAAAGATTTTTATTGAACATCTTTTTCACTGTCATATACTGTTGATAGAAATATATTAGTAGCAAAATATGTTAAGAAACTTTTATATTATGTTAAACTTTTATGATTTCTTACCTTAAAAAGACAATAGGTTTCCAGACAAAAGGAAGTATATCATGGCATTATATATAATTTTTTGGAACATTGAAAATATATGTCCTCTATTTGGAGAATTATTTTAAAAATTGTGGTACAACCAGAAGACATGTATTTTACAGCCACTAAAATATCATTTACAAGAAATTTTAATGATATATAAAATACTCAAAATAAGTTAGATTAGAAAAATAGACATGAGAAAGTGGAGATAATATATAAATTAAATATATAATAGCATTAAAGTAAATAAAAGACTGGGAGAAATTAAACCAAAATATTCACAAATATTTTAAAATAATGAAAATATTATAAATAGTATTTGAAGTACAAAAATTTCCTTTCAAAAGTAGAATGACAAATGATTTGTTCTTTTTTCTGTATTCATTTCTAACTGTTCATAAATTTTATTGAAAAAAAAAACCCCAAACTACTTACTTCTTCCCTGACCCAAATCTTTTCCCCCTACTGTGTTCACCATCTCAGATAAAAGTAGCCTAAGTCAGGATCCTGCAAAGTAACTGAGATTATTCCTTCTCACTCGTCAGTCACTTCCAGAAAATGATGACCAAATTCTACTGAGTTTTTTCCTCATGCTACTTCTTTTCTTTTTTAAGATTTTAAAAAAATTTATCTTTTTTTTTACTGTGAAATAAACTTTTTTTAAAAAAAAGATTTTATTGGGGAATTGGGGGAGGGAACAGCCCTGGGGAATTGGGGGAAGGGGAACAGACAAGTTGCTGTCGTTTTGTTCTTCGGTCTAATTGTGGAGGACGTTGCTTCACTGGCCCAAGTTGGCACCATCATTGCGCTCTTCCCGGGCGAGGCAGATCAGTCACCGGCTTCTGG